AGTTCACAGTGCTGGTAAAAGTTTAAGGCTGCAACTGTGTGGTGCAAAAGTTGCCGCAGTTCTGGTAAAAAGTAAAGGTCACTGAACCAGTTCAGCCCAAGAGTAGGGCAGATAACCGACCTGAAGAAAATCTGTAACTGAAGTTGTTGCAGTTCTGTAAGAGTCTTGCTGATGCACCGAGACTGCAACTGTAGAAGAAGCTAAGTCTTTATCACTTGTTCTGCACAAGTCTTGCTGGAGCACGAAGCTGCAACTATAGAGGAAGTTCTCCCCCTCTCGGCTAGTGCTAGGACTGTTGAATCAGCCCTCAACCAGGTCTGTCCTATACAGACCTCTCTTAGTAGCCCAATAGCTACTACTTGCTGGAAATAATCAAGTAGGACATCTACTTCTGGGTYTTACTTCCCTTGAGTCCTACAACCAAGAGAAACCCTAGGTTCGAACTTGCTTTACTCTCTTACACTCCTAGGTCTTTACTGCAGCAACCCAGAAAAGGAAGAGAGAAGATGAAAAGACAGCAAGAGAAGAGAGTGCACCTGCTGAAACCAGGAAGGAGCTAATGCTCTGATACCATGTAATCTGAAGAGCTATACTCGAAGTAACAAGGAGGAGAAGAGAACCACAGAACTGAAGAGAATGTCGAACTGTACTAGGCAGTCGACCAGTCTTTTATTTATAGATGGATATAGTACAAGGTACAAGAAATTACTGGGATGCCCCTGATTAGTGATGGGACACCCAGATGACTTAAATCACTATACAGGATTAGGCCCATTAACACAGGCCCAGTTACAATATAAGTTAAACATAAGACTGGGCTAATAAGAACTCTTATCAGCCGAACATCACTCTAACATTCTAACAGATATTACAAGAGAGGCTGTTAGGGCCCATTCAGCCCAGTCTCTTTACATATGCAAGTTCGCAAAAACTCCAATTGATCCCAACCACAAGTTGAGTGCTACTGAAGGAGATGTTCTTCTTGATAGAGGGGTCTTTTAGAGCGTGGTTGGCCGTCTTCTTTATCTGTGTTTGATTAGGTTTGATATATATTTTATGCAGTCGGAGACTCGAAGTGGTTATCCAATACATACATGAGCCCAAAACCTCTCACATGCAAGCTGTCAATAGAATCCTAGCCTATTTGAAGAGATGCCTTGATAAAGGAATGTTGTACTCCCAACTATGGACATATAAAAGTTGAGGCCTATGCAGATGCAAATTGGGTAGGATCTGTTGATGATAGAAGATATACATCTGGTTACCGTGCCTTAGTTGGAAGCTATGAGGTTTCGTGGAGAAGCAAGAAACAATTAGTTGTTGCTTGATTTAGTGCTGAGGTAGAATATAGGGTAATGGTATATAGGGTGTCGGAACCACTCTGGTTGAAGACCTTGCTGACCGAAACGGGCATTCGATATTCCAATGAGACTATCGTGACAACCAAACAGCCATAAACACTGCCTACAATCTTGTTCAACATGATTGTACAAAGCATATCAAAGTGGATAGACATTTTGTCAAAGATAGGATAGCTAGTGGAGAGATTTGTCTACCTTTTGTAAGGTCAAAAGACCAACTCACTGATTGCCTCACCAAAGGCCTTCATCATCCAAAGTTTGCTAAGAACCTAGAGAAGTTGGGCATGGTTGACATATATGCTCAGTTTGAGGGGGAGTGTTGAGATTGTATGAGCCAAGGGTCTTTTTGGTCATTTCTTACCTTTTGTATTTGGGCACCCATATGAGGGCTTTTATGTAGTTTCTCTCTCATAATATAAATTTCATGTTTGAGAGAATGAACAGTAACACTCTCCTCCATTCGTTACTTTCTCTCCTCTTTCTTCTTTTCTTCTTCTTCTTGCTCTCTCAACAAAACCCTAGATATTGGCATATTGCAACTTTAATAAAATCTTACTTTGTCTTCTTTAAAAAAAGAATCTATTTATTTCGTGAATCCTTTTTCTTTTGTTTTGAACCTAACAACAAAGACAAACTTTTGACTTATAAGTAGAAGTGTATTCTTAAAAGAAATGTCATTTATGAAGTTTGAAGTCTTTATTCTTTCAAATTATTCATGTAATCAAACTATTCATTAGCATCATCAGTCCATGAGTTGTGGAAAATCTAACTTCTGATACTTCTTTGTAGGATATAACTTGTTTGAACTAGGTATATTATGAAGTTTTATGTAAACTTCTTTGGTTCACTAAATAAATTATGGTTATGGTTAATCAAATGAAATAGGAAATTTGATGCACTTGTGGTTGTGATTATTAGAATGATCATGAGGAGGCTCAAGAAGAGTTTTTGAAGAAAACAGAGTTCTTCTTCAGTGCAGCAGTTGAAAATTGGGATGCGGAATTCTATGTTAAAGTTGATGACAACATCAATCTTGACCTTGGTTAGAGTTCTGCATTGTCTCTTGTTTAAGGAACTTTGAAGTATAAAGAAATGTCTATCTATTTTTTGGAAATATATGCATATTATTTGTTTGATTCATCTTTGACACTTGATTTCTTTTCAGAGGGGCTAATTGAAATGCTTGGAACCCGACGTGGTCAAAGTGGTGCTTACATTGGGTGCATGAAATCAGGGGATGTGATAACTGAGGAGTAAGTATTTTTCTCTGTCCTCTATGTAGGTATTATTTCTGGAAAATTACTCCTACACTCCATTTGGAGTTATTGGGGGCGTACCTTGTCAGCTTCTTCCCCTTGTTGCCTAGAATGCTTTGCCTGATGGTGGTAGTACATATTTCTTATTATATGGTTGTTAAGTGTTCAATCTTTGCATCAATTGTCATGCTTTATATATTAATAAAGTTCATTACGGAAAGGGTATCCTTTTATAAAACAGGAACAACTTTCCACATTATGTGGTTTTACTTTATTGGAAACACTTGAAACTTCTACTTAAAATTGTGGTCTTCTTTGTTCTTGTCCATAAACATTCTGAGGTCAAAGACACTTAGAGTGAAAATGCAAAATTGCAGAAGAATTATGATATCTCTTTTAAGTAAAATTTTAAACCTGGTCCTTCATGGTTCTTTTGAGAAGAGCCTCGGAATTAAAAAATGTATATCATAGATTATGAAGTATTGGCTGGTATTATGTAATGGCTTTTGCAGCCTGACAGGGATGGATTTGTTGAATTCTACCAGGAGAACCTCTTTTCTGCAGTCGACCACATGTATTTTCACCTCTTTTCGCCTTGGATGGGAATGGCTTTAACTAAAGGCCAATATTATCACTTATGAAGAAATTTTGCGGCTACTTCATTGAAAAAGAAAAGACAGAGAGAAACCAAGGTTATCCTATTAATTTAAACCCCAGTTTCAGGATCTGAATCTTCAAAGCCAACACTAAATTGATTATAAATATCATTTCATGAATTTTTTATTTAATATAAAAATTATGATATAAATATTATATGTTTTTATTCAATTATATTGTTTATCCTTTAACAAGAGTTTAAGATATTAAAACATCAAGTATATTCTCTTAAATTATATACAATTAAAGCATTTATAACGAGGTAAGAGAAAAAATCATGTTATAACAAATTATTTGGATGATATTTGGTACATGTAAATTGAAAGCATTACATTGATATAATTAACTAAGTAAAACATGTTAAGAATGTTATAAAAATTGACAACACGCTGAGGAACATGTTAGATATATTCCTGTAATACTTTGTGTTAGTGTCCATTTAAAGGCAAATATGTTGTAGAAATATTAGGAAATATTTGGACATTTTTAATCCATAACCACTTCAATCACCCTTCTCTAATTCTATAGATAACATCTTTAATTTCACTCCCATTCCCATTGTTGGTGATTGATTCAAGGTATCAAAAGCAGTTAGTTTGGGGTATCTTGTGATTATCAATGCTATTTGTCTAACCTTTATTACTAATATTTTTACTAAAATTTCAATACATGTATTCTTTCTTTGGTCAACTATCTTGAAACCTTTTTATTCTAAAATATCTCTCTCCATTCTAAGCCTTATCTCAATTATATGGGCTCAGCTATAGGAATCTTGTTTCGCCATTCCTTCTCTGTTTAGTGTCAGAACACTAAAAGACAAATCAGGATCTGTGACCATAAAGTTTGGCATAAGTTTTATGTCGGCTGCCAACGTGACACAACCTTCTTTATCTGGGCCTGGGCCCGGTGGTGTAAGATAAGCTTACATTGGTGGAGTTGTGCAAATGATCACTTCTTTTCCACAAATATGAAGCACCATTTGACAGATGTCAAAAAGTTTTTAGATCTGAGCCATCAGCCATTATTAGTTGTTTTAATCTCATCTGATCTCCTGGATTGATCTTTTGTTCTCTCAACCAAATTCAGGCTGCACCAGGGGCAGCTCCAATATAAACCACCTCGAGGTCGGATATGTATGGTTCTAGTACACCTCTGGTTAAATAATTTTCTGATGATGAATACCATCTTTGTCTTCTTCCATGGCTCCTTCCATCATATCTTCACAAAGTAGAAACAACAATCTAGAGGTCTCTTGGATACTTCTTTAGAACTCTCTCTCTTTCTCTCTCTCAAGTTTCCCATAATAATTGAACAAAGAAGAGTATTACCCATCTCTAGAATCTGTATTCTTTGTCTAAAAGTTTTAATGACAGATGGACTGACTGACAGCTAGAACAGTTGATTAACTATACCTCATTTTTTCGCTGAGTTTGGGGTCTGACCAGATGTAGATCCTTGTAGGTTTACAGTTCCGGTATCTAGCTTGGTCTTAGTTTCACAACACTGCTAAAGAATATACACCTGGAGTCTTATGTAGAGGTGCAAGTCACTGCTCATAAGGTTGAGGGGCATGCATGTAAACTGGTTTCATGGATTGCTGGTCATGGTTTCATGTTTCTACAATGTTAAAGCATTTTATTTCATCCTTACCTTTCAAAAATATGATTTGACTTTTATATATTTAATCAGTCTTTAGCATCATATATTGATTTTCAGGGGAAGGTCATGGTATGAACCTGAGTGGTGGAAGTTTGGAGATAAGAAGTAAGTATCTGACTCATGGATATACAAACAATGGATTACTGCATATATCTGTTTTCTTATAAAATGTGAGCTCCTATATTGTACTAGCATGGCCTCATACTCACACACATAGTTTCTTGTTTACTACCAATTCAAACTTAAATGACATTGTAATTTGAGTGAACCCTTGTTTAAAAGTTTCTTATTGATTTCTAAAGAAAGGATAGAATCTCTTTGTATAATGATAGTAGTCAGGCTCAGGCATAACTGAATAAACTTAGCGTGTTTCAACTCTTGGTTACAAAGACTTGAAGACCAGAATATGATAAACTCGGGTTTGTTTTATAATCTGATTGTTTATCGCTTTAGTACTGAAAATAACAAGAATGCTTATTCAACATAGGTAGTACTTCTTATATATATCAACAACCATTAGACTTGGGTGTAAGAAGGGGATTAAGGAATCATGAAATTCCTATTAATTGTGAACTTCTAGAGTCATTGGATGCTGTCTATCTTGTTCCCACTCTTGTTGATGGTAGAATTTGGATACCAAATCCTTTTGAATACTTGAACATCCTTTTTTAAGCTATTTTATTTCCATTGTGATGCAGCACAGACATTTCTAGTGAGTGGGGTTAGGTGTAAACTTATCTCACTTAAGATTTAGCAGTTTGTTGGAAGGTATTCCACTTGAGAATCAATTCTTGTGATTGGCTCCAAAAGAAAAGACCTAACTGTGCATAGTTTTCAAGGCACCAAGGCAAGGCTAGGCGACAGGGAGGCACCTAGGAAATGGACTTTTTTTTATAGATAAAAACATGAATTCTAGTTGTAATTCCTTAGGTTCGAAGCAACCAACTGCCATCTTTCAGTAGTAATTATTTATAATCCCCCAAAAAATATAAACTTCATATTATATCATAGAAAAATCAACATACTCATGAGAATAAAGAGAATAAAGAAAAGAAAATGCAGAAAATACTGGGGCTGACCTCTATTTTTGTCCGAGGAGGAAGACAGCAAACACATGTATGTTGAACTGTTTATTGAAATTTATTTTATTATTATAATCTTGAAAAACAAGGAATATTAAAACAATCATAGTGTGGTGTACAAAATATCTAGGTGTGAAAGTGAGGCAGCCCTCCATAGGTGCTTTGTCGCCAAGGTTCAAAGTATTGAAACAATACGCCTCGTCTCCATGGGTGCCTTGTCTCCATGGAGATGCACAAAGAAATGATCTGACTTATTATTTATGCTCCATCTTGAGGGGGAATGTTAAGAAGTATTTATAGTTATTATTGGAAGTAATTATAATTATTATTTATTTAGGCACCAGGGTATTCTTGGAAGTCTACTTATGTTTTAATTAAGGAATGGAAGTGTAATTTTACAGATTTAAGTTATAATTAATAATAGTTGGTGTTAGATGGGAAATTTTATCAAACTCTTATTATGCTCAGCCCTATTTTCTTTCTTCTTCTTATCCTCACTTATTCTATTCTCCTTTCTTTGTGCTTTATTTTCTGGTTTTTCTTTTGTTCTACATCCAATCTAGCATTGATCTTAGGTTAGTTACAACCTGTAAGTGTTCAGAATTTCCTGTAGCCTAAATCTTTTCTAGAATATGCTAGCCCTCCATTTTGAAAATATGCTAGCTCTCAAACAAGATCTTGGATCAATCTGTGGGTTTGCAGGCCAGTCTGAGACCTAAAAGTCTTAGATCAGTTTGACCTAAGGTCAAGTTGTGTAAATTAATGGTGCAACTTGAGTCGGGTTGGGTTGGCAATTTTATTAAGATTTTGATGGGCCTAAGCCCTAAACTGAGTGCAATGTAATTGAAATTCTTCAAATTATATAACCCAACTTGCAGCTCCCAATGCTCCCCCCCCCCAAAAAAAAAAAATACAAATAAATAAATAAGATAAAAAATTAGAAAGCAGCCCTATATGGATCAACTAAGGTTGCAAATGATATCCATTTATCTGAATTTAAATCTGATCCTGTTCAGCTTAATCCAAATTCTATTTGTTTATAACTGGATAGAATATGGGACTATGGGTCCACCCCTATCCAATTCATATATAATTCAACTTGTTCTATTTAAATGTATTTGCTTATATATACTTAAATTTTATATTCAGTCTATTAGTAAAGTTGGTTTTAATGTTTCATTTTTACCAAAGAGACATTGGATCAAGTTTCATAAAATTTATTTTCAATATATATATATATATATATATATGTGATTGCAATCCGAATTTGTTTCAATTTGGACATAAATCTGATGGATAAGATTTAATTTGAATTCGTATATAAATAATAATGTTTGATATACCTTATATTCCATTCAGTCCTATCAGTTTGCAGCCCTAGGATAAATTGTCTTAAAAGGTGTATTTCATGTATTGCCTCTCTCTCTCTCTCTCTCTCTCTCTCCCCAATAGTAGCATAAGAAAAAAATTGGCTTATTCATCAAAAAGAAAAAAAAGTTTGGTTTTAAAGATGGCAGGAAAACATTAATAGGCTCTTTATTACCAACTTGTAATGGAAAACCTTTCTAAATGTTACAGTTTGAAATTAATAAATACTTATTATTAAAAAAAAGGAAACTTAAAGCCTTGAATATTTTCCCCCTTTCTTTCTCCAAACAAAAAAAAAGGAAAGAAGAAAAAAGAAAAATCCGCCATTCATTTCTACTAATTCAAATCAAAACTTTCATTTTGTTATAAATTTAACCTTCAGAATTATAAGACTTTAAAAAAGTATGAACTTTGACCTAGTTCACTGTATTTTATTTTATTGGGTATGGACTGCATAGTTAAGTAGACGCAAGATGATTCTCTATTGAATTGAGGGGTTCTTTTATGTTTCAGCCACTATGCTAAATGCATTCATTGATTTTTCACTACTTTCAGATATTTCAGACATGCAGCTGGTTCTCTATTCATACTATCTAAGAACTTGGCTGAATATATCAACATAAACAGGTTGGTGCTTAGGTCCTTAACCAGAAGCTCATGGGTACAAGCACTGAACTTGCATATCAAAGTTGTATTGTATGTCATGAAACTGATGAAGCATTGAATTGATTTCCATTCTTCCACCTTCACCAGAAGCACCGAGGAGGATGTATAATGTACTACATTCTTGGACAACTCTGTAATCTATATGTATTGCATGCTTATTTTCATTTGCCATCTCTTCTATGCAGTGCATCTCTGAAGACTTATGCTCATGATGATACATCTGTTGGATCATGGATGATGGGCCTGGAAGCAACATATATTGATGATACTCGTCTTTGCTGCAGCAACTACCGTGAAGGTGAGTTTACTCCCTTGGTATTACTGTCTCTGGTTGTGCATTTTCCTACTTCGGACGCTTTACTTCCTTTGTCTTCTTATTCGACCTGTGTAAATAGTTACAGATCGAGACATAAACATGTTGACAAACTCCATCTAATTTTGGTTTGCAGACAAGGTGTGCTCCATGGCTTGAGTCAACTCGTCTTCTAATTTTGATGTGGATCCTATGAGTCAACTCGTCTTCTAATTTCCTTCTTGGTGGATCATTCAAATCGGGACTTCAAGAAGTTAAAATAACTGAGATGTTTTCAGAATATGTAACATTGAAGTTCATGACTTGCCCAAAAGCAGCAAGGGTCTTATCAAAAGCTACAATAAAGTATCCTTCTCTATGAAGAGAGCAATTTCAAAACAATGTTGTGTCATCTGGAGACTGCCAGATTTTGATACTCATCGAAGTCATATTTTCTTGAGATGGATACAAAGGCTGGAGATGTAGCTCTGATATTGCCTTTGTAGGATTTATGTTCAACCAGCAAATGCTAGAGGCAATTGGATTTCCATTTAGAAAATTAGTAGATATTCAGAAAAAGATCGTTAAGTTTGCATTTCACATTGTAAACATTATGCCATTTAAAGGTGATCAAAGGTTTTAATTATTGATATGATAATTATCTGAAGGGTGGATTTGGATCGTATTGGTTTCTAGGCTATGTAGCTGAGGATTGGAATCTGGGTTGCCTACTTGACAGGTCAGAATCTTTACTACTACGTTATATTGCATAACTAGTGGGACCCGTGTGATGCACTGACTTTGTTAAAAGAATTTGAGGCAAAAGGAGTTGAGGGCACAACTTCAGTGGCCCCAATTGGCTCGCCAAAGCTCTTTTAAAAGTTGGGCTTGATTTTTCAATTTTCAAGTTGGGCTTGGGCCAAAAAACTGAGGCCTAACATAAACCCAGGTTAGGTGTGGGTTGAGGCCTCAAGTAGTCCAAGCCCGACCTAATTTAATCTAAGCCCTTCTAACATTTTATGATATACATATCTACATATTATCAATCTATTATACCTGAAAATCGGGCTACAAAGTTCAATTTACCTAAGTCCAAGTCCAACTTGAGATCTTGGATTAAGCTCGGGTTGAGCCTGGGTATAAGTTCAGGCTTAACTTTGAGTTGGGCCAAGCTTGAGCTTGAGATTTGAGATTAGGTTTGGGTTAACCCTCAACCAAACCCAACCCACCCAACTTGTACCCCAAGAATGAGCATTATGACTTTCCTAATTACATTTAAAACTAACAATTATTTAAATTTTTTATCAACAAATTTGTTGTTTTATTAATAAACATGTATTAATTTGTATTAACTTTATTTCTATTAAAATTTTGGAAGAATTTTTACATTTTTGTAGTTTTAAAAAATTATTAGAACTTTATTTTTAAATTGTCATTAAATAATTTATTTTCTTTTTTAATAATTTATTTACAAAATATACTAATTTATCTTTTTTCCAATATAAGCTGGTCATTAATTTCCTTTTCCAAAATTTTCCAAAACTATACTAATTTATCATTAATTTATATATTGAGAAATACAATCTTTTTAAGAATTTTTCCGAAAGTACACTAAATTATCTATAATTTTCCAAAATTTAATTATATGAAAAATTTATTACATTTGTGTAATTTTGACAAATTATTGAAATTAATTCTAAAATTCCTATTAAATAGTTTATTTACAAAATTATATTAATTTATCTTTTATCTTCCAATATATTATTTTAGTTAATAGTTTCATTTTCCGAAATTATACTATTTATTTTAATGCATTACTACATTTTGATTTCAATTTAGAAAATTATAATACATTACACTAATTTCTAATAATTTTCAATAATTAATGTTTATAAATCAGAAAATGACATTAAATTATAGTAAAAGATGAAACATTAAATAACAACAAATTAAAGTAATTGTTGAAAAAATTACACTAATTTCTGATAATTTTCAAAAATTAATGATTATAAATCAGAAAATGATAGTAAATTACAATAAATTATACTACTTTTATAATTTTCAACAATTAATGTTTAAAAGTTGGAAAATAACAGTAAATTACAATAAAAATAAATTACATTAGCTTCTTATAGTTTTCAATAATTAGTGATTAAAAAACCAGAAAATAACAGTAATTAACACAAAATCATTCCAATTTAAGTAAATACAAATGTCAAGTTTAATAATACAAACAATTATAAGTCATAATTATAATTTAAATATTTTAAAAGATGTTTGAAAACTTATTAAATTTGGGAGCAAATAAATGATAAAAATTAATAAATAAAATAAATATTTTATTTAATGAAGTAAATGATAAAAATTTTCATAGTTTTTCTAAAAATTATAAAGCAATTTAAATTATTAAATCCAATAATGAAAATTATTTCAAACCAAATAATTGATAAAATAATAGTTAATGATTTATTTGGAGAAATTGAAATTTTATAATTTAATTTTCTGAAGAATAATGTATTCTAATTTAATAATATATTCCAAGAAATTAAAATTTAATTTATAAAAGTAAATTAAATTTATTCCATGAAATTAAAATCTAATTTATGAATGTAAATTTTTAATGTTCTAAACATAGGGATCATTATAGAAGCAGGTGACCTAATCACTAGGTCGGGTCCAGGTTTTGTCAGGCAGGCGTAAGCCCAGATTCATGTGCCACAACCTAGATTGGGTGGGTCTAGGCTAGGTGGCCAGATGGGCCGGGCCGGCCCCCGGATGGGCTTGAACAAACGTTTGAGCCCGCGGGCTTGCCCTTAGGCCAAAAAGTCTGGCCCGCAATAAATTTGAGCCAGGTTTGGGATTTGCCAAAATAGTCCGGCCTAAGCCCGGCCTGGCCCAACCTATAGGTTAAACCCAAAAAACCCTAACCCTAAATATCCTAACCCCTTCCTTCTCACTCATCTCTTTCTCTTAGTCTTAATTGAACCCCAGTTCTCTCTTCTCAGTTTTCACAGCCAAACCCCAATTCTCTCTTCTCTTGGTCTCTCAAATTTCTTTCTCCCTCAACCAAACAATATCACAATTGGTAGAGAAGGTTGATGGAATACCAAGCTTCATCTGCTCCTCCCTCACTCTGCCGAACGAGATTGCTGTCGCAAGATCGCTGTCGGTAGAAAATAGTGATGCATAGCAAGGTTTGTCTGCTCTTCCCTCACTCTGTCAAACAGGATGTTGCTGCCAAGATCGTTGTTAGTAGAGAACCCTGATGGAATAGCAAGCTTCATCCAATCCAGTTAAACAGGATTTCTCTCTCTCTCTCTCTCTCTCTCTCTCTCTCTCCCCCCCCCCCCCTCCATGGTCGCTTGTTCAATTTTCTTTTTTTCTTTGGGTTTCTCAGAAAAGAGGGGTTCTTCCTCCCTATGCTTTATCAATGCGAACTCAGCACCAACGAACACAGTCACACAAACTCAGCACCGGTAACCATCTTTCTGTTAGGTCGGCAATAGATTGGGCTTCGGGCTCGGGCTCGGGCCTCAGAAAATCCTATTTATGAAGAGTAAAAGCCCAGCCCGGCCCATGAACAGGTCTACCCTAGACCAATGTAAGATCAATAAAAGATAGGGTGGATGTTAGTTGTGTCAATCCTATCAAGTATCAACGTTGCCCAGATGTTTATATAATATTTTTATTATATTACTTTAGCATAAAAAAAATATAATCAAGTTTATGAATGGGCTGGGCCGGATTTAGAGGTATGTTGTATTTGAAAAACCCGATCCAAAACATCTATCTTCTTTACCCATATAATCATTGCTGGCCACGCTCATTCAACCGCACATATGGAATATCGGTTGTGTTGTGGTCATCGATGTTCCATATGTGCGACTGGATGAACATGGCCAGCAATGTGTTGTGTTCAGTAGATCCGAATTCATATAGCTATAGTGGTCAAGGTTCAAATCGTTCCGGGACCCCACCGATACGCCTCTATAGTGGGTGTATCAGGGGTCTGACCAGTTCAGGGGATGGAGGAGACCTAAACCGGCCCCCCTGAACCGGTTTCAGAAAAAAAATAAAAAAATAGTATTGATTCGCCCGATACACCCATACCAGCGTATCAGGCGTATCGATATTTTGAACCTTGATAGTGGTTATTCAACACAACAACCACAGTAGCACAAATAGGGGGGGCATCCTCTATGGTTTTTCACCCATCCACGCTGTATTCACGTTAGAATAATGCCGGCAAATATTATTCACACCGGAAAACAAAAATTTTTCACTCGGTTTTGGATTTTCATTAGATGATAACATGGGCCCCGGTTTCGGTTTTTGACACCTAGGAGACATTATTCTAGTCAGGAAGAGTTCAAATGACATTGGAAGAGCATGGTTAATGTGATGCAAGAATAACCTTTCACGATCAAGCCACTATTCCAAGTGCTCAACCCCTGGTCCAAGGAATTCAGATCTGTGCCCCATAAGGTGGTGCCCCATAACGTTCGACAGCACATTCCCGTTATGTATTGGGAACATCTTCCGATGATGACATTATCTATTTTGGTATATCATCGGGAGATGTTCTCAATACACAACGAGGATGTGCTGTGGGACGTGTGGGGCGCAGATGTGAACTCGTTCCAAGTGCTCCACCCATGTGCTATGAATGTCCATATTCTACGGGTCTCTCAATCTCTACAATCTACTACGACTCACAGAGTGTTTCATTTGGCCCTGCTCCAGACCGAGATAATAGAGTGAGGCAACGGGAGGGAATAGAGAGACTATGGAAGAAAGAAGTCGGCCCTATTTCCTATCATTATCACCATTGTGAATTGTGAATTGTGATCGGCCTGTTTCCTAGTATGTCACGTTCTCTTCCTAATTTTTTTGGCAAAAAAGAGAAGATTGTCATGCAAGATGACAACTTCATGGGCTTGTAGAGAAATATCTCACCCCTCTAGAATTGCTCACTTGGGGTAATGGAACACACAGAGGCCTTCTGACATGGCATAACATTAATTGTAATATATACACCATCTCAACCAGAAATTAGAAAGAAAAAAGGAAACAATTAGTTGATTATTAAAATTAGTATTTTTAAATACTAATGAAATATATGAAAAAATAAATAAATAATTAATTGTTAAAATTAGTATTTTTTTTTGTATTAATGAGATTTATTTTGGTTTCTTAAAGTATATTTGCATATTTCAATTGCATTTTCTATGTATATCCTATAGGTCACATCTTTTTTTTGGGTAGACTATAATTCATACATTTTACTTCAGTAAGCTATTGAAATATATATGATTCTCATGTGTTCATACCTTAGCTATAGTGATCAGAGACCTAAATTTAGTGCTAGTAATGCATGTGAAAGATTTTTGTGACTTTTCCTAATATGTTCTCGTGCATCTAAATCATTCTTGTTCTAAAATTGCATTGCTGATATTTTGAACATTTGAACCTTGGGGTGATTTATTTATGATACTATAACAAATATTGAAGAAACATTAATTTTTTTTGAAGGGTTGCACTATTAAGCATTACCCAATTTTAGAAAAAAAAAAGTGATTATCCCAAGAAGGATGCATCACCCTAATGCACATGAATTGAGATTTGTTCTTCAGCGTCTCACACTGACCTTACAACCACATTTCACCCTATATTGGGAATATTTTCCCATGAATAATAAATACAAGTATAAAGATGTTCCTGACGTGTGGCCAAGACATGATGTGAGGTCGGTGTTAAACACACTCTGTGAGAGCAGATCCGTACTCAGTGCATATATACAAATTGGGATCTGCTCCTCACATAGGGCACTTCACACCGACCTCACATGCACATCTCACCATGCATTGGAAATATCTTCTGTAAATAATAACATATAAATACGGGAAATATTCCCAATACATGGTAGGATATGCCTGTGAGATGCCCTGTGTGAAGAGCAGATCCGGTCTCCACATATACCCAAAATTGAAGGCGCTGTTTAGATTGAGTTGCTACAAAGAAGCGGATCGTGTTGAGCATCCATGTTTCTTGATAAGTTAAGAGTAGCTTCGTATTTTAGACATGTGGAGTTCAGAACACTGATTTGGGATTTCTGGATTTTCCCCAAATACAGTTTCCCATGTTTCACTGGGGGACCGATCTTGGAATGCCAAAAACCGTCTCAAAATCCCTCCCAAATGGGTAAAAGCTTTTGTTTTCATTTTTGTTTAGATTCCTCCTTACCGATTTTTTAAAAATGATTTTTGCCCTATGATGTAGGCGCAGATGGTCCCGTTCATTTGCGGGCTTACACGAGTCAGATGGTGTAAGTCAGAGCAAATCGAATCAGGGTGCGCATGTGGCAGAGCTCGGCGGGTTCCGAGGAGCTAATAGCACAGAGTCACCTGGCAGCCTCGAATGGCCACACTCATTTCGTAAAGACTGCATTCCAATCGTCCGAGTTCATCTACCCCAGGCGGCTTCAAGTATAAATAAGAGGTGACCCCCTCAAGGTAAGGGATTGGAATTTAAGTTCTCTAGCGACCACTTGAGATCTCCTATCATCTCTTGTGGCCTTGTTTAGGTGTTCACACCCAGGACCTCACACACCCAGAACCTCGTCCACTCTGCATCTCCCAATACTAACTTGATTGTCAAAATCTCTGCCTCGGCTTTGCACCTGAAGCTTCTGATGTTCTCCTCCTTATAGGATCAACCTCAGTCTTTGACCACCTCGAACGCCTTAGATTCACCTTGGCTTAGGAGCGAAGTGATAATATAAGTGATAATATAACCTCAGTCTTTGACCACCCTCGGCCATTCCGAGCATCGGCACCATATAAGCTGATTTTTGAGAAACCAGCCGAGTTTGTTATGTAGTGATTCTCAATAGTGATTTTTTTTTCATTGGAATTATTATTAACTGTGTTGTACTCTCGTATTTTAGATACAATCTAGCGATTCTAATGGTAAATCCGTATCAAATGGTCTAAATTACATACAATTGGAGAGATTACAAAAATTTCCCAAAAATAGTTGCAAAAAAATGCATAAAATTGTATGAAATTGGAGAAAAAATTGTACAAAATTGCTTAAATAGCAGAAAATTGTAGAAAATATGCAGAAGTTGTATAAAATCGCAGAAAACTACTAGAAAATAGAAGATATTTGCAGAAAACTCACGAAGAAAACCAGAAAATTGCTGGTTATTGCAGAAAAATGCATAAATATTACAGAAAATTTCAGAAATAAGGTACAAAACTACTGAAATAACCGAAAATTGCCAAAAACGCAGAAAATTGCATGATATTGCAAAAAACTCTTAAAAATACCAGAAATGACAATTTTGTAGCAAGGTCATGAAAAATAGCATATAATTGCTGATTGTTCAGAAAATGCAGAAAATTACTAAAAATTGCTGAAAATGCAGAATTTTGTTATCGTTCTCCCTGGGTAGGGATGACAATTTTTCCATTTTTCTGATCCTTGTAGGGATCCACCTTGAATAAGACAGGGATGGGATGATTTTCTTCCCCTAGGGATGGAGATGGAGATCATCCTGGTTGGTGGGGATGGGGTGAAGACGGGAATGACACTTCCCGCCTTATGGGGCCCGACCCCCACTAATATATATGTATATATGTGTATGTATGTCTATATTTGTATGTGTACGTATATATGTTAATATTTTTAAAATATGATTGAATATGTTTAAATATATTTGAATCTTTTTCAATAGGATTGTAAATTTTAATTAAATTATTTTTAATTATTTAAATAAAATAAAATAAACAAAAACAAAATCATTGACATTATAAAAAAATCATGGGCAGTGGGGATCCCCATGGGGATGAGGATAACCTTGTCCCTACTAGCAGGAACGAGAATGGAGATGGGAGATAGAGACGGGGACAGAGATGGGGATTTTGGCAGGGACATTGGGGAAGCATTATTTAACATAGCAATGCATAGGGGTGGATTCAAATCGAGCCGAGCCAAATAACTAGCTATTTGAACTTGGCTCACCAAGGTAGTATAAGGCTCGAGCTCGAGCTAGAACCAAGGTTCAAAATATGACACATATCGGCTCATATCGGTTGATACGTATCGTATCGGGAGCACCCTGATACGCCCCTATAGAGGGTGTATCGGGGTTTTGACCGGTTTAGGGGGTGGAGGAACCTTAATCTGGCCCCTTGTACCGGATTTGAAAAAAAAAATACCGATATTACCCAATAGACCCCTACCAGCATATTAAGTGTATCGATATTTAGAACCTTGGTTAGAACTTTGAGCTCGAATGGACTCGAGTCAAAAGGTCATAAACTCAAGCTCGGCTTGATTCAAGGTTGATTTAAAAAATATATATATTTTATAAAAAATATATTTATTTAATATTTAAAAAATTAAGAATTATAATAATTTATTTGATGCATAGGACGACTAGATCGCCCAACATTCGAAATCCGTTATAAATCGAGTGGACAAGATCCGATTCAAATGCAAACAAATCAAATTTATATACCAACATCCGATTAGATTACATCCATTTAATTTGCAATCCTATTTTCTGTTTCTCGGCTGACTCGGCATTTGTCTTTAAAAAACAAGTATGGAAAAGATATAATATCTGAAAAACACCAAATCAATCAATTGGAATCATAAACTTGACAGCGAATCATGTGTTATTTATCAACATTTTAGGTGGGTTTTGATTGTCATACCATCATGGTTTTTAAAATTGGACCGAACCGGACGGTCAGACTGGAAAACCGGGAACTGGTCACTTGACTGGTTCCATTTTTCCCCAAATCCGCTTTTTCCCCAAAATCATTGATTTTGGTTGGCAAACTGACGAATCAACTGGTTAATTGTTCGAACCGTTCGAACGGTTTTGACCGTTTTCAAAATTTTTAGTTTTTTTTTATATTTTTTATTTTTTGTTAGAACAGGCCGGTCATTTGGGTTGAACGGTCAGACCGTTCGAACCGGTAACCGGACCCCTGACTGGTTCGGTCACCGATTCAATTTTAAAAACCATATATACCATATCTTTTTCATATCATAGATTTTTCTAAATAAAAAACATATAAAAAGGTTTACTTTAGTTGGGCCACATGGCAACGTGGTGCACTGTAGGGGTGATCATTTCAGCCCGGCCCGGAAATTCTAGGCTTGGGCCTGGGTTTTGTGTTCAGGCCTGCAAATTTTAGGGCCGGGCTTGGGCTTAATACTTCAAGCCCGGCCCGGCCTACATATACTTAAACTTGCACATTTTGTGTATAATGTATATATATATACATACATATATGTTATTATATATTATATATATAAATATTATAATATTGACATATATAATTTTTATTATATGTAATATTTTATGTTATGTAATGTATAAAATAAGTTTATATGCATGATATGTCATTTAATACATAGATATATAATGTTTTACATATGAGTGACATTAATGGCCCAGCCCGGCCCGGGCCTGAACTAAGAATTATGATTCAGACCCGAAACCCCAGGCCAGGCCAGGCGTGGGCCTAAGCTATAGCGCTTATCACAAGTGCAAAGCCCGGCCCGGCCCACGATCACCCTAGCGCACTGACTGGTCAGGAATTTCTGCCGCGACTCGGCAGCGTTTTTCCCATTTAAAACGTGCTTAAAAAAATCCTTACAAAAACCAAACCAAAGATTTGAATTTTGAAACGTTCCTATGAACTCCGAAAAAATTGAACGGTCGAGATTAGAGTAGGTGGTGGCCCCCCTTAAATCGCGAGCGTGTTCGGCATGAATAAAAGATAAACGTGGTGAGTGGTGAGACAATAAAGCCCAACTCCACAAGATGCGCACCGGCCCCACTTTTCCGAAATCCACCTACCCCATACTGCCACATGTCACGTGCGGGCCCTTTTTATATCAACCTGTTTGTGAAATTGGAACAGCGACAGCGAGTGTGAAGCGAGAGAGAGAGAAAAAGAAAGAGTTGAACTAAATGACATTGGTAAGAGAAAGAAGACGCCAGCAAGCACTCAGGCTTCCCTTACCTCCCCAGAATCTATCACCGTATTTTTGTTATCGGGTTCAGTCGCCATCATCACTGCTGTCATCTTCGATAAGGCCGGATTCTCCCGACATTAAGGGCCTCGCGGAGCTCGAGAAGCTGGCCGTGCTTGGCCACGGCAATGGTGGGACTGTTTATAAGGTTCGACAACGTCGGAGCTCTTCCATTTATGCGTTAAAGGTGCTGAGGTTCGACCATGATGCAATTGGCATTTGGCACCAGGCTGGTCGCGAGGCAGAGATCCTCAAGCGGGTTGATTCGCAGTTTGTTGTGAGGTGTCATGGAGTGTTTGACAGTGGGACGGATGCAGACAGCGGTGAATTATGCTTTGTGATGGAGTACATGGAAGGTGGGTCGTTGCATGATGTACTGAGGCTCCGCCGGAGGCTCCCGGAGAGTGTTATCTCCGATGTGGCCAGACGGGTCCTGGAAGGACTCAAGTATCTGCATGGAATGAAGATTGTTCACAGAGATATTAAGCCATCGAATTTGCTTATCAATGGCAAAGGAGAGGTCAAGATTGCTGATTTTGGGGTGAGCCAGGTGGTGGCGGGTTCACTTGAAGCAGGCGATTCCTACGTAGGGACGAGCGCTTATATGAGTCCCGAGAGGTTCGATTCTGAAAAGTGGAACGGAGGGCCGAACGACGATGGGTTTGCCGGAGATGTTTGGGCTCTTGGAGTGACAATGCTGGAATGCTATATGGGTCATTTCCCCTTGATTGCTCCGGGACAGAAACCTGATTGGGCTACACTCATGTGTGCCATATGCTTCGGTGAGCCACCCAAGTTGGTGGAGACGGCATCGCCGGACTTTGAGAGCTTCATCCAGCGATGTCTGGAGAAGGATTGGAGAAACAGAGGGACGGTCTTGGAGCTCCTGAGTCACCCTTTTGTGACCAAGCGTTGCACTTCCGCAGGAGGTCTGGTTGGTTTTCCTGATTGAGACGAGTTATAATTTTCCTTTATTTTATCCTTCTTTCTTTTTCACAATCTTTTTTGCATTTTTTGGGCAGTTCCTTGGGTAGGTCAGGTCGTCAATTTAGACATCTGGAGATCTTTTCAATTCTCTTTCTGCAAATTAAACTACAACAGAAAAAAAGGGTGAAAAATCATAAAAATAAAACAGGAAAAAAGAAGAAAAAAGGGAAATGGCTCTTATTTCTGATGTAGATTGATTGAGTGCATCAATTTCTTCTATGAAGGTCTCCATGAATCTGATAGACTGGTTACCTGATGGGACTGTGGGAAGAAGAAATGATGTATATTCATATGGGGGGTTCGCATCCGCCCCCCACAACTTTGCCCCCCAAAAACGTCCCACGCGCTGTGAGTGCGCCGCGTGTCCTCCCACACGCGGATTAGAGGGACTCTTGCGGAGCTAACCGTGTGTCCTCTCGCCCAAAAGGTCATCCTTCTCATTTCAGAACACTTCAACCCTTTGAGCTCCGCTGGTCGACGCGCTCACTTCAACCTTCCACCTTCTGCTCTCAGAACTGAAATCCGCCGGAGATTGCACCCCTTTGAATTCCGCCGGTCGACGCCGACGACCGTTTCGAAAGCGAAGCATTTTTAACAGCGAGAAACGACGAAGAAGATGTCCACTCAAACGCCTTGTTACAGGTCCCTTGTTATATCCATTTTCTCAGTTTTCATGAACCCATTTTGCCTTCTTCAAAACCCACATAATCAATCAAAAACAACCAATTTGTTATTTGAAAAAAAAATAGATTTTTCTTTCGAGTAGGCGAAGATAGTTTAAATTGATTGAAAGGGGAGTCTTTGATGCCGTTATTCTGTGCAAGGCACGCAACACAACTCCCACATAATTTGGTAGTGAGAAGAAAGAATCTCACATCCAAGCATGTAGGCGTTCTGCAATTATCCAGTAGTAAATGCTGCCTAGCCGCCTCTTCCAGCAAGGTGGGTCTCTCAGAAAACGCTGCTTCTCTTTCGGGTTTTCATCGAACTTCTCCATCGATCATGGAGGACGAAAAGTTGGGGATTATATCCTCTGAAACAGAGGAATATTCAACAGAATTGGATGTTGCTGTTAGAATCGTCCAAATGGCTTGCTTTCTCTGTCAGAGGGTGCAGGAGAGCTTGATTTCCAAGGGCAATAATCAGGTTAAATCAAAAGATGATAATTCTCCGGTCACAGTTGCAGGTAACTGCATTGACTGTCTACAAAATGGTTTCTTTTTGGTGATTCTGTATTCTTTGTTGTGTGCTATTTATTTTTCATCCATTACAGTTGCATTTAATGGAACCCTTGGTTTTATCCTTTTTATTTATTATATTTTTTTGGCGAGTGTTCTTCAGTTTTTCCCCCTTTGTTATTTATTTTTTTTTTTGAAGGAAATGGTTCTGCTGCTAAACATGAAAATTTGTTATTCCTCCGAGGGACTGAGGGTATGGGTTCCGTTTCGTTTTCTAGAAGCCACATCTTGAATTTGTTGGCTGGTTTTGGTTTGGTTTACAACTGAAGTCTGGGAGATTTTACCAACAAAGGTAGATTTTTGGTTTTGGTCAATGGAAGAGATAGAGTTGCAGATGTTGCAGCGGTTCTGACTTGTTGGCGTCGACCGGCGGAACTGGAAGGGGGTTCTCACTCCGGCAAAAATAAGAAAAAAAAACATAAAAAATGAAAAAAAAAACTTGCTTCCGGTAAGTAAATCTGCCGGAGTGATCGTCAGCAACGACCGGCGGAACTCAAAGGGAACAACCTCCGGCGGGTTTCAGTGGGAAGACACGCGGCGCGCTCAGAGCGCATAGGACGTTTTTGGGGGGCAAAGTTGTGGGGGGCGGATGCGAACCCACCCAAATGATGTATACATGGCAGAGAGAATGTGAGGCATTAATTGTTTCATGGTGAAAAGCAATGACAAAGCTGCTGCAACCTGGTAAAAATGCAGAGGCAATGGTGGTGCTGACCATGAAACAGATTACATATATGAGCACCCTACATATGAATTATGATATATACATTAACTGTGCAACCTGTTAAAAATGATTATTTGTCTCTACCACCCTCAATTTTAAATAGTATAAGGATCAAGTTTCAGACATTTGACGTGTATCAACTATCAACTGGACGGTTTCATGGAAGGGGTAAGAGTTCTGGCGAGCTCATGCAATCACATTTCTAATTAATTTATTAGCAGTGGAAATGCCAATATTACATCCAAATTCTTGTTTGGCAATGATGGCATCTTTTCTTAATTTCTCCATCTTTTCCCTATTTTATTCAATTTGTGGTTCTTAGTTAGAAAAGGAGCAGGGCCATTAATACTCGGGCTGTCAAAAAAAAAATTGGTTAGACCATCCAGTATGAGATTGCGTTTGGCAATCCGGATACCCCTCAATAAAATGCTAAGAAGCAGCAGGTATTTGAAAGAGAAAACAGCACAGGTGTTTGGTTTAAAACACTGGCGTGTTCACATTTCATGGGCTGTCAAATGTGGGAATGTGGACTAGATGGACTGAGACAAAACTATAGGGCTCTATATAATGAACTAACTGGCCAGTATTGGGTATGCATGTTGGATTTTAATCTCATTAAGGATTAAATCTAACGGGGTTTCATTGGACACCTGTTTTGAAAAAATAGCTTTTCTCTTATTAAAACCAGTTTTAATTTGTCTCACATTGGAAAATTATAAGTTTTGTTTTGAGTTTTTTAATAAGAATTGATTTACACTTCTTAGAAATAGAAGAGAATGGTATGGAGGTTTACTACTGCGCAATGCATGTGCATGTGTGTGTGCGGCACAATGAGGTGCATTTTGGTTTTTTGGTGTGATGCTAATCGTTGATATGATCAATGACCATGATTTGATCGGGTATAATCAAGAGGTACAATTCAAATTTAACAATCATTAACTGTTAACTATCTTTTAAACAGTTACAATGTTTGAAATTGTGACTATTCAAGGTGTCTTTCTCTGAATTCGATGACTCTTGAACTTTACTGGTTGTGGATTTTCGCCCAAGGCTCAGTTGTATCTTGAGAAGGAATTTGCCTGTAACCCAATAGTAAACTCAGTAAAACTGAGTGAGCGCAAATAATATTTTAAAGACAATGTCTTCAGATGTGCCTCATAGCTTTTCCTCCAATTTTTCGGAGACCTCATTTCCCAACAACGCATATGATGTGGTTCAAGTCTAAAAGCAGTCACTTTGTGCAAAATATAAAATGTCCTTTTAAGTAGAAAAGGAGAATGTTTGAATGGAGTTTTATATGAAAGATGAACGACCTATGCAGCAAGATCTCTTTTGCATATCTAGGGATGTCAATGTACTGGTTTTGGGAGTTACTCCATCCAAATTGGATGGACCAATAAGACATTGAATTGGACTAGTCGAGACTTAATGGTCCAAAGTATTTATTGGATTGGATTGAACCTAGTCCATCTATAATGAATTTATATTGGATTAGGTTGGATTGAATCCAATATCTGGTCCGTTGATGGAAGATTGTCCAGACACTAAATTAGACTGGTCCAAAATATTCATTGGATTGGATTGGACTAGGTCAATTTGTAATGGACTCACATTGGACTAGATCAGATTGGACCAAATCAAGTAAAATTGACACCCCTATGCATATCCATTATTTTTCTCGATGGTATGTTTCAAATATCTAAAGTTAGTTGAGTCAGAATCCAAAACTGAGTTAGGGGAAAGCTATAAATAAAGAAATTGAAATGACAAAGAAGAACAAGATATGTGAGTTGGTTAATAAACCCAAAGAAAAAGAAATAATTGGACTGATCGAAATGGGTTCACAAAATAAAGTTCAATGAAGATAGCTCAATCCAAAAGCACAAAGTAAGACTAGTGGCTAAAGGCTATGCCTGACAATTGGGGGTAGATTTCCATGAAACTTTTGCACTAGTTGCAAGAATAGAACAATTAGAATTGTTCTTGCACTTGCTGTTCAATTAAAATTGCAAGTGTTTCAATTTGATGTGAAATCAACATTTCTAAATGGAGATTTAGAAGAAGTTTATATTGAACAACAAGGATATGTGATAAAAGGAAAATAGGACAAGGTTTACAAGCTTCAGAAAGGTTTGTATGTATGGAAGCAAGCACCTCAGGCATAGAATAGCAAGATTGATAAATACTTCTATAAGAATGGATTCAGAAAAAGTCCAAATATGTCAAGAAGGAATGTATGCACAATTTTGTTCTTGTTTGTCTTTATGTTGATGATTTGATTTATACAAGTAACAGCCCAAAATTGTTGAATGAATTCAAATTAAAAATTATCAAGGAATATGAGATGATTGATTTGGGGTTATTGAGATACTTTATTGGGATTCAAGTGAAGCAAAGAAAAAGTGAAATTTTTATATCCCAAGAGAAGTAAGTTGATTTATTAAAAATGTTTCATATGTCAACTTGTAAACCCCTAGCTATTCCTATGGCTATCAATGAAAAGTTGTCAAAGGAGGATGTAATAGAATTGGTAGATGCATCAATCTATAGAAGCCTTGTTGGTTCTTTGATTTTTTTCACCAACACAAGGCCAGATATTATTTTTGCTATGAATATTGTTTCAAGATACATGAACAAGCCAAGTAAAATTCATTTTGGGGCAGCAAAGAGAATACTTAAATATGTGAAAGGAACTAAAAACTTTGGGCTGAAATATGAAAGTGAAAATGAATGCAAGTTAGTTGGATTTTTAAATAATAATTGGGCTAGTTCCATAGATGATCAAAAAAGAACAGTTGGATACATTTTTTCTCTGGGAAGTAAAATGATCTCTTAATCATCCAAGAAGCAAAATATTGTGACACTTTCTTCAACTAAAGTAGAATACATTTTAGCCACTAGTGCATCTTGCGAAGTAATTTGGCTTAGAAGACTTTTAGAAGACATTCAATTTGTGCAAAATAGCCCAATTACAATCTACTATGACAACACTTCAACTGTTGTAATAACCAAAAATCCAGTTTTTCATGGAGGAATAAAACATATTGAGTTGAGACAACACTTCATTAAAGATTCAACTAAGAAAGGAGAGATTGAAATGTTGAAGTTCATCAAGATTGAAAATCAACATGTTGATATCTTCACCAAGCCCCTAGCTTCTGAAAAAATTTTGCATTTTAGATCTCTAATGAAAATTACAAATTAAGAGTAGGTGTTGAAAAGTAAAGTAGTAATTTTGTAATTTTCCTTTATATATTGTCTTTTATATTAAGTGAGTTGCCTTGGGACTTAGTGTCAAAAGTGATGAAGGGAAATTTGGCCCGACCTCGCTTGCCACTTCAACACTTCGCTTCCAATGCACCAGGCTGATCAAACGTACCTGACACCAAGGACGTCCGTATCCAAGGGCGCCGCACCTTACTGATTTGTGATCTGACACCTGACAGCCGCACTTCAAACGGCCTCCTGCTACCACCACCTGCAACCGTCGCTACTAGCCGTAGAGACGGCTCCGACAAAAGGAGCAGTGGCGGTTCTGTCCGGCCAGAGGAAATGACATCCGAACTGGCAGGAGTTCAGAAGTAATCATGCCCGATTTGACGGAAGCCTGGAAGTGAGTGCGCGAGGTGATTATAAAAGGCTCCTACCTCCCAGGAACGAGGTATGCTAACTTTTGCGCTATCTGGTCTATCTTGCCTTTGAAAGACTCTAACTTGAGCTTCGGAGCCCTTACGCCGGGTTCTCCCCGGAGCTTCTCTTTTCCTTCCGTTTTTGGTCCCTGCCACTCAGTTCAGAGGCAAGATCGTTGATAGCTAAGATCGGCCGGATTGTTCATCATCAAAAAGTTCTAGACGGTAAAAGTAAAACTCATTTTTATATCTTGTAATTTGAAACATTTTGTAACAGAGAAGAAGCAGCAAAGACAAAAGTAAAACCCAGAACCATAAATTGGTTTTTCATCTTCTTTTCTTGTTCTCGTAATTCTATATTCATTTTTTCTTCTACTGATTTTTTAGTTCTTTGATTTTTACCACCACACTTCCATTGCTCCAACAAATTACATGCATTACTTGAAGTGCCCATACTCGATTAGACGTCAATTCATTATTGAATTTTCCAACAAAACAGGAGTAATACATTAGAGGGCAATTGACCATGTAGCATAGACGTTACAAGCAAGTGAGCAACTCTATTTCCTTTTCGTGGAATGAAGGAGATAACCGTGTCACGGAAACAATGCAGTAGCATCCTGCAATTTGCTATCACAGTATGCAAATGCCCAACGAGGAGTCTGACAGGAGTGATATTACCGACTACGCATTCCCTTCTAACCAAATTGATCAATATTAAGATGTGAAGCCAGCAAAGAGACCTTTTCGACAAGACATTGCTGCTTTGATATTCTAGGCCTTCAATACAACTTCTTGAAAGCCGAGTAGGCAAACTGCTTTATCAGTCAAGACCCGAAAGATAAAGGCATTGATTCCAGTCCGCTGGATTCTCCACATCTTCAATCTTAGCTTTAACCGGTTCATTTTCACCCGGGTGGAGTCTTCTATTTTTGAACCTCATAATCAAATCCTCTATTTGGGGGGATGGGAGTGACATGATCATACGTAAAGGGTAAATCAGAAACTTAGTGAAAGAAGATGAAAA